GGGGCCCCTGGGGTGATGGGACCCCTGAGGTAATGGGTGGGGGCAAGCAACCCACAGGGCCACAGACAGCACTGATGGCACACAGACAAGGCCCCCCCCCGCCATACTGGCCTTTACCAGAAGTCACTCGAAGGCCCCTAGGTCACAGGCTCGTTGTCACCACAGTGCAGGAATCAGGAGGGGAGGGAAACGCATTTTGTCAGAGACAAAGGGATGTAGCACCGAGGCCGGGGGGAGAACCCTATCCCCAGCAAGGGACAGCCACACTTGGGAGTCACCCGCACCCGCTGGGACAACTCGCTTTTATTTTTGCAGCCTGCAGCAGGGACCTGCCAGGGAGCGGCGAGTCCAGCACCGAGCCGGGACAAAGCTGCAAGCAAGCAGTCGTGGACCGCACGGCGCTGACGACACGAAGCACAGGTCAGTGGCATCCCAGACACAATTCCTTTGCACAGGGACAAAGTGTTCCCCTCCCCCATCTTGTCCCAGTAAGTTCTGAGGCAAAGAACTGCAATTTACTGCGACAGGTGGGAGCCTGCTTTCTTCTGCCACAGCACAAGGATGCTCCACAGCCTTGTGGTCTCCTCGGGAGCTCCTCCACCAGCCAGCCTTCCCACAAATTCCTCTTCCTGGGAGCTTTGCCGTCCTTTCTCTACACCTTCCCTTTTTTGATCAGTGCCTGCTCTGTTTTCAACCCATATCTGCACAGAAATCCACAGTCACACACCTCTTGGACGTCTCAACAGCTCCCCACTGCAACGAGTCCTCAGTCTGTAATGTCTGCTAAGAATTAAAACTGAAGATTAACGAGGCCCTTACGTCCTCACTCGCTTTGTAAAGCTTAGCAGGGTGGGTGCAGCTGCTACGTAAGTACTTCCCCATTAAAAAATGCCACAGCACAAAACAGAACAAAAGCCCACACTATCCCCGGGGTGGCAGTGAGACTTGGACACTCTCTCTGCCACTGAAGTGTTGGTGACCCTGGTAACATCACCCAGCCCCTACTGAGAGCTAGGAGGGGCAAAGCTACCACGATGCAAGGGTGAGACCCACATCCCCAAGATCCCCAGCCCCCTCTAGGTCAGCCTTCAACTCACGGAAAGCAACAACACTGCCAGTGATTTAGAGAGGTGCAGAAGCAGGAAAAAGAAAGGATCCGCAGTGGTACAGGAGTACAGCTTGGCCGCCTCTCCCTCTAGATCTTGCATTCTCTGAGAAAACACCGGGGAGCAACAGGAAAAACAGCCTTCCAGACCATGCCTTGACAGGCAAAATTAGGGTGGTTTTCAATGACACTGGCTCAATCCATTAACGTAACGCAGCTGAAAGCCCCCTGAAGATTTGTGAAGGTGCACGTTCGAAGCCACGTTAGCCTGCTGGGGGGCTGCAGAACGAGGAGGATTACTGCAGCTACAAAGACTGAAAACCAGTCATTTTGTCCATTAAGCAAGTAAAAAGCCTCAGAGTAATGGCAGCCCCTCACGTGGGGCAGCTAATCCCCTCACTCACAGATACGGCAACAGAGTTGTTGCAAAGGCATAAAGGGCTAAATCCTGCCCATCCTGACACACATGGAAACCCGCTGACGTCAATGGCTGTAATGGTGTAACTGAAGGCAGAACGTAGCTCAAGGGGTCCCATTTTATGACTCCAGGAACAGCACAATGTATTAATCAGACCACAGAAGTCCCCAGAGATTCCAGCTCACATTTTATGTTCTCAAGACATGTGACCAGAGTTTTGACATCTCTGGGTACAGAACGCATCTTTCGGGAATAATAAAGCATTAGCAACATTCCACATGACTAATCTGATCACTAAAAGGTTTTTTTTTTTTAACCTTAAGACTTAAAAATTGGAAACAGGACAGAAATAACTACCCCTACAAAGACTGCAGTTTGTTTTCGTAAGTTTTCCCAGCCACACTTAGCTATGGGGACCAACAGCAGGTCAGATTCTCACTGAATTTTCATCACGGAAAATTAACAGTCCCACTGAAGCCAGCTCACACATCATGAACTTGAGCTAAGAGTTGCAAAAATTCAGTATATTCAGCATGTTGGAACTTCTGCCACACTTATGGTACATTATGGCATTTATTATGGCTCATTAACCAGATCTTTCTGGACCCAGTGCCGATTAAATTTATTAAATGCCCACACTAAAAGCTCTAGGCACTCTAAGAGTTAATTAACTTTACACCTAAAAATGATAATCACAAAGAAGTCATACCCAAATAACTAGTTCTCCACCAGTCAGCAAATCAAGTAACAAACCAGCATCTTTTCCCCTCGCTGCTTCAGAAGGAAAAAACTATTTGGGCGAAATCTGCTTCTGTTTTTTGCTCTTTGGACTCTTCAAGACCCGTGGAACTGACAGTATTTCCCACGAGCACGATGCACTCTGCTTCTTCACGAGGAACCTCTGTCCTTCTTGCAAACCTCCCTTCCTAAACCATCCTTAGATCTTCTCTACACCTGCCCTTTATGTCCGGGACACGGGCTGCGGATCGGGAACCCCGCTACACCCAGGAACCACGAAGGAAGCTCAGCGCAAAGGTCGGTGGCTGGATGAGGGTGTTTCTGCGTATTCTGGGACTGAGCAGGGAGGAGAAGAAAAAATGACAGCTACAAGCCAGATAGATACTGAACAGGTAAAACCAAGGGGACAGATAGCTCAAAAGGGAACTGATTTCCCTGGTTTTCCTGCTGTAAAAATAAATCGCCACTAAAAAAAAAAATACTCAAGTGATACCGTATTGTTAAGTCTTATAATAAATTTTTGGCTCTTATTCCCCAAATCCTTCCTTACTCCATTAAATCTGAAGTCACCAGGATTTCTCAAATGAGAAATGGTGTGTGGGGATAAGACATTTATTACCCACCTTTCAAACAACGAGATAAAGCGGTCGGTGTTCTCTTTTGACGCATGAGAGGGCTCCCGCCAGACTTGCTTATTTATTTATCCTGAGGCTTCATCAGTATCATCTGAGAGGTAGAAGATTTTAATACTCCCATCAGATATAAAAGATGAAGGCAAGCTAAGAACATACCCATACTAGAATTCCTGTAGATTTTGCCACAGGGAAATTAGTTTGCTTCGGGGGTATAAAGCTCTTGAACCAAATCAGAGATAAAACTCCGCTGAATAATTGTCTCCATGCAAGAGAAAATTTCAAAAGCTGTAAATAAACAATATGAAACAGCACAACAGTTGCTGTGCAGAAAGACTCCATCTCCTCATGAAATACAGCTTTTTATTTTGATGAAAAACAAGACACTTTCACATCGATATCTAAAAAAAAAAATTAAAAAAACCCCTCTCACGTAGCTGTTTGCAGTCCAGGGAAGTCTGCCCTGGGATACACTGGGCTGGGATTTCTCCCTTCCCCTCCTGCCGATGAATAGTAATCCCCTGCCCAAATCAGAACCACGGGCCTGACCCCAGCCACGCTCAAAACCATGAAGGAGGACAAGAACCAGACGCAGCGTTCAAGACCTTCGCTTTGAAACAGGGGATTGAGGAAAAAAAAACACAAAAAAAACCCACAAAAAACACACCAAAAAACCTTGGGCTGCCTCCAGTGCCGCTCCTTGGAGGGACTCCTGGTCCAGCGGGGCAGGCAGAGCAGGGGATGCCGTCGCTCTGAGCCGCGCTCCGGGGCTTCCTTTCACCTGATCCCCGCGACGGGCACCTGCTGCTGCTTGCGGATCTTGTTGAACAGCTCCATGTACTGCCCCATCGTGTCCGCCGGGCCGTAGAGGCTGTCGTGCTTGGTGCCGAGCACGGCCGGGACGCCGGGAGCGTGGTTCCCCATGAAGCTCTGCATGAACTCCAGGAGCAGGTTCCAGCAGTCGCTGGCGATCACGCAGGGGCCGTACTCCACCTGGAAGTGGAAACCACAGCCCTGAAGCTCACGGCGGGGCCGCCGCTGCCGCCACCACGCAGGAGGCAACGCGCTCTCCCCTCTCTGCCTCTCTAGGGACAGAAAGCTTTTCATAAAAGCATCTGAAAACATTTAGCACGTAACAAGGATGGATGAAAAAAATGAGCGGGACACGGCAGGAACGTGCAAGCCATCCCTTCCAAAGGGAAGGGGAGGTAAAATGAACCTGTAAGGGCGTCGCTTTTATTAAATCCCCAATAGCAGAGGTCCTGGGGCATTGGTGCAAACACCACGTTAACGTTACCCCATCCAAACCCAAACTTCCTTCCCGCGTCCTGACACGTCAAAGGGCTGTGACACCTTTCAGGAGTGGACTGGAAAAAAGCCTTGGGACTCACGGACTTGAAGTGTTTTATAAATACGAGTCTGGTCCCAAATCAGGAGTAGGCCCTAATGCAAACTCTGACAAAACGACTCAATTAGAACAGAAGCAGCCAGACCACCTGGCAAACCTGGTCCTGAGCTGAAGTTTAGGGTAAAACTGTTTAACCCCAGCTCAGCAGCAACGCCAACACTTCAACATCTGTGTTTATCACAGTGAAAAACTCGGCCATTTCTCCATCCTCCTCCCTGCTGGCTACCAACACCTGCCTGATTAACTGGATATCAAATAATAGGATTTGTGTGTTTAGAAAAAGCACAAGCTCTGATTTTTTCAAGCATCTGATTCTCAGCTAGGCTGCCCAGCACCGATGTATCCAGGTGCCTGGAGTCTGACCTACTCTGCTTTGCCTTTCCCACACCAGTGCAGCCCAGCTCCCTGCCTTTTTCCAAGACGCTTTTCAGCCCAGCTGAGGCTTGTCCACGGCTTGTGAGCTTCGACTCACACTCGCGTTCAGCCAAGAGTCCCCCCAAATCCCTTCCTAGACCCTCCCACGCCCCTCTGTGTACGCTGAAGGACCTTCCTTCAGCCTTTGCTTCAGCCCAGCCCCGTGAAACCCCCGTCGGCCACCGATGCCCTCGAGAGCAGCCACGACGCTGAGCGGAGAGCGTGGAAACGGTTCGATGGCAGGCTTCGAGCCCGGGGGGCAGGAACTGACCCCTGCCAGCAGCTCTCTGGGGAGGAGAAGCCCACCTCTCCGCGGTGTGAGCAGAACCTGGGGCAAGAGGGCCCTGCTCTCCTGGGGCTGTGCCTGCTGGAGATGGAGAAAGCAAGCGAAACCCAAATCGGCCTCGAATTAGCAGCTGAAGAGGTTGGCTTGTCCCCCTCGGTATGCTCACGAAGCTGAGGTGTGCTACTGCCGTTGGGTGTCAGGTCTTTAAACAGCTGTTTAGGCTGACGGCATCCCTTCAGGGTTTTGTTTAGTGACACCTCAGTGAGAGGCTTTTCCGTAGCTGCAGCTGAGCCCCAAAGCACCTGCCTGAACTCAACCTCGTTGGGAGGAGGAGAGAAGACCCTGCCTGCTGCATACACGAACCTCCAGTACAAACCACCAGCAACGAGCAACACCATCAAGGCGCGGAAGGGACGGGGCATTTCCCATCCAGCCTCCAAGATGGGATTTCCCTGTCCACGGTTGTATTTCAGACCCGTCAAAGAGGATTCTTACCTCCACAGAAATCCCACGGGCACTGGGCCCCATTGTCACCGTGCCCACCTTCACCAAGAAGTCGCAGTACTGGTAGCGGGTGCCCCGGCTCTCTATCTTGTTCGCCTTGGCGTTTTGGAAGAAGCCTTTCAGCTTCACCATGAGGGTGTCGAAGTTGGCATCCGCTATGAGGCAGGGGCCGTTTTCAAAGAGAGCGAAGCAGCTGAGGGGATATTCGGAGTTGTGCATCACGTACATCAGCTTGCCCGTCTGCCCTGAAAGGAGAGCGACGGGATTCGGGCTGTAAAACCAACAGTCCTGCGCTCGGATGTGCTTTAAAGAAGCCTCTGGTTTTTCCTTTGTTCTCCTTGTTGCTTTAATTCCGCTCCTACAAGCTTTACGTTATCCGGCTCTTCAGTGAATCCAAGGTATTTCCTTAAGATTTAAAGTTAAAGGGGAAAAAAAACCTGGCAGCACGACTCAGAGACCAGAGCTGGACAGGAGATCCCCAGCCAAGAGCACCCCCCTCCCATCCCCGCGTACAGAGCTGGGCACACGCCGACTGTCCTCCTGCTTGCTGGAGGAACACTGGGCTTTGCCTCTCCTCCCACTCACCCACCAGTCCTGCCCGGGAAGGATGTACTGGGGCACGCTCTGGAAAAGTGGGTGGCCAAAGAGGATGTGCTTTGGCTTGTCCCATGCTTTAAAAGCTGGGGAAAAAAATTTCTCATTTACTCAATAGATCAAAAAAAAAAAAGCTGTTCCATGGATGTGGCTGAGCAAGTTCCAGAAAAAGGGGAATTTGGGATCCTCTGAGCACATCCCCTGGAAACACCTGGGTCACCTCCCACCTCAAACCCCTCCAGAGCTGCTCCCCACCACCCTTGGCGAGGGACAGG